GCGGGGTGTGCTGAGTGCGGGGTGTGCTGAGTGCGGGGTGTGCTGAGCGCGGTGCTGCAGTCCTCGAGAGCAGCTGGCTGCTGGCAGGCTGGCTCACAGCCTCCAGAAAGAGGAAGATGTTCTGGCAGGCTTTGAACTAAAGGATGGGATTGGAAACCATGGCAGCTGCCGTGGCCGTGATTGATGGCTCCCCGCGGAGCCGTGTTTGTGCAGCAGCTCCTCCGATGCCCCGGGAGGTTCCGCCCCGGGGCCGTCCGGCAGCGCCGCCGGGCTCCTGCCCCTTCGGAAAGGGCCCAGGACGGCCGGGTGCTCATTTACCAAGCGGTTCAAGTCGTTTAATTTTACAACATAATGCAGACCATTGTTTACTTAATTAAAAGAAAAGATCACCTTGGTGATTAGGGGTGTGTTTGAGAAACAGCCATGTTTCTGGCAGCAAGGTTTTGATACTCAAGAGCTTCTATTTCTCCATAGTTCCAGGCTTGAGAACCAGCCCAGAGCTGAGGCACTGCCACGTCAGTCAAGACTCAAAACCTTCCAGTGCCAAACAGAAGAGGCAGACTCCTGATCTTGCCTGCCATCATCCTGAGGTGGAAATGAGCTTCTTCCTTGGCAGAGGAATGACTTGCCCAATGTTTAAAAAAAAAATCCAGAAAAACACCAGATCCGTAATTCATTACCATCAGTGCAAGCAGGGGAAGCTGCTCTGTAGAGAGAGCAGGTGTTTAACACAGCATTGTCTGACCCTGCTTTGAACAGGGTCAGAGAACACTGTGTTAAAAATACCTGTGTGCTGACACTGCTGCAGCCAGTGAGCCCAGTGACTCTGGGCCAGGCTTTGTCAGTGCAGTCGGCAGGAAATAAAACATCCTCCTGGCAAACACACACTGCCTCTACTTCTGTGTTACCACAACAGCACAGAGCAGAGAATGCAAGTGTCCAGAGGGGAACACAGCCAAAAAATTAGCAAGAGAGGGAAAAAGGAGAAAGGAAGCAGGGCTGTGTTCTCAGTTTAAGCAGTCTGCAGTGTTATCTGTTGTGTGCACATGTCATCTACTGTTTGGAAAGAAGACTGTAATGCAGATGAACTGGAGGAGTGGAGAAGAGGATGTGCTCACTGTTCCTAAAACAATGCACTTCTTTAGAGAGCTGGAGATTCCCCTAGAGCTCCAAGTTAGCATGCATTCCTCATCTTCCTGCAGACAGTTTTTACTGGAGGAGCTTATACTAACCTTAATCACCTTAAAAGACTCGTGTTTTTAAGAGCAGAATTTTGACCTGGAGCCTGACCAACTCCTCTTGTTTTCCTGATGTCAGGTTCAGGTTTTGGAGCTGCCATCCAAGACGTCAGTCTGTACCTTGAAGCCAGAGGTGGGTGCCAAGCTGGGCATGCCCATGTGTCTGAAGTTATGGCAGGTAAGGCAAGAGTGCCTGCTAATTGTGAAATGTTTTCCCTGTGATTCATTTTATATGAAGCACATGAATCTTTCTTCACTTGGATTTTGATTTATTATCAAACCAATCAAGTAATTATACTATTAAAGGGGGGAAAGATTTGTGAACATCCTTAATGTAACTTTCAGAGCTTTCCAAGCTTTAATGGAAGATTTGCAAATGCTCAGGGAAAGCTTTATATCCTTAGGATAGATACACTTTCTGCATCAATCAAGAGGAAAATGAATGACTTACCAAAGCCACTTGTTTGATATGGTTTCTCACTGCATTAAGAATGATGAGAAATGACTGGGTTGCTTGAAAACTGTGATTTTAATGGCAGATTACATTCACTTCAATGCCCTCAGGACGAGGAAGCACTCTATGAACATTTCTATTCCAGACATACAATAGGAACAAAATATTTATGGTGGTACTGACTTTGGACAAAAAGGTAAATAAAAGCAGTTAGTGAAAAAAAACCATATTTGCAGAATATTTAGCCAATAATGTTTATGGGCTGCCAACAGCGAATGACAAGTAATAGAAAAAGGTGGCAGTAGAGGGAGGAAGGAGTTGAAGTGATTGGCTCTAAATCTCCAGAGAACTGGTGGCAAAGCTGATTGCCATTTAACCCCTGACCACACACTGTGACAGGTCTGCAGGACCATCCACGCTGATGCCAAATGTGTAGTTCCTGCAGGCTCATCTCAACATTTTGTTGGTTTCAGGTGAAAACATTCTCAATCAGAGTTTGAGGCCTTAGTGTCTTCACTCAAAGTCCTGAACCAACTGAAATCTAGAGCAATTCATTTGCTGATGTCAGACAAAAGTAGGAGAGGCCACTGTTCAAGTCCCACGCTGTAATTAAAGACTAGGAAAAAAATAGAAGGAAAATTAAATAGGCTGATTAGGCTTTTATTAAACAAAGTTTCTCCTAAAAATGCAGTCAGTGTTCAGTGCTCGATGAAATGAATGGGGCTTTCTGTCTCCTGGACATTTTTTAATAAGATGGAGATAACTGAGGAAATGTTCAGTGTTGAAAATTTTGTTGCCTGTATAAGAAGTCCTCTGTCTTGCCATATTTTCTGCATGCATTAATATTGCTATTCCTCTAGGAAGCAGAGCAGGTGCAGAGTCTTAATTTCATGTAGTTTTTAATTTTGTTGCCAGTGGGGATAAAGCAGAGAACTGGGAACTGGGAGAGGTAAATTATTCCATGCAGATTCTGACTCTGAGAACTCACCATAACTTCCTAGACTGCACCAGGCAAGTACAGCTAATCCCTGACAGTCTCACAGCTGTGTCTGCTCTTTTACAAATGTGTGCAACTTGGTTTGAGAGCGTGGGGAGCAGGACACCCTGAAGGGCAAATAATTCCATGTGGGGTACCAGTGATGCTCTGCATTCAGTTTGTGGTGGCACTGAAGTGGCTCTCTGAGCAACCCTGTCAGCACAGAAGAGCAGAGCAGGGGCTCAGCCCCTCCTGAGCAGGATCTCTGCACACACCTGGGCTGGGCAGTGCAGACGGACCCGTGGGAGGGGCACTCCAGGGGTTGCCTGAGAGACTGTTTGGTGTTGGTGAGGGCACAGGGAACGAACAAGCTGGAACAGAAGCTGACAGGGAGAGAGCCCCAGGATGGTCTGAAGGAATTCTGCTGGTGTGGCTGGCCAGGGAGAGCTGGGGCTGCAGGCAGGGACCACCCTGTGTCCTGTGTGCCAGGGAGCCAAGGCTGAGCTCAGGGACACAGCAGACAGCGGGAACGAGGGACTGCTCTGCACAGCACAAGGCAACTGAGGCTGGGGGGAGGATTCCCCTAAGCAATCCAAATGCTTCAACCTCTTTATTTGGGTCGTTTTGAGCACTTTCCCTCCTATTTTTCTAGGTCTATCCTTAAACATACTAGTTCATTCAGTAAGTTTTTTTCTTGTGAAGATTTATATTAAATACAGTGTCCCTTCCGTTTCACACCTTCCTGCTATTACTAATTGGGTGGAGTAGGATTTGCAGGAGTAAGGACAGTCTTCCCTTAAATTTTGTGCTCTCCTTGGGGAAGGCATCGTGTTGCGTAATGGTGCAAACAAAATAATTCAACGAGCAGAATACATGTCGAAACTGGAAACGCCGAGTTATTACTTTATATAAACTGTGGCAATTATTCCTGTTGAGTTGACAGCAGATCACCTTTTCTTCCTTCCTTGACACTTATCCAAATGCAACAACAAGATGTTCTGCTTAGGAAGAGCAGTGATTTATAATTGAACTTTCCTACTGGCACAGGACACGGTGAGACGTCTCCAGCAGTGTCCGTCACTGGAACTGCGATGAACAGGGCTGTGAGGGGAGCCTGCTGAGGTCTCAGCCTGAGAACTCCCCTGAGCTTTCCAGAGCTTTTATTGCTCAAGTTCATGTACTCATTGAAATATTACACTTCATGTGGTTAGCAAAGTCAGGAAGAAGCAGTGTGGGAGACTTTCATTTCATAGGAGACAATACTTGGTTTTTAAAATAGACCAATCTTAGAGCTCACTTGCAAATTACTGGTTTTCAAATCTAAGCTGAGATACCCACAACACAAAAAAAATATTTTTGCTTGGCATTTCTGGAAATGCTGAGCACTCACCTGTGTCTCCATCTGCACGAGGGCCCTGAGCTCCATGAGGGCTGTTTGGAGTAGGGAGAGGAGCCAACCCTGCCCCTCCATACCACGTTTCACTGGCTAATGACAGAAGAGCAGCACAAATAATTGTGGAGCTTTTTTATGCTTAAACTTGGGGCTTTTTTTAAACTTAAAAGTACCTGTGAAATACTTTGTTTTGCCTTGAAGGTTTTATCGTTTATTAAATATAAATAAAATCTGGAATGTTCATTTAATTTAAATTTTTTAACTTTTCCTTGGTATCAAAAAGCAGATCCAAATACTTGATGAGTTAACATTAATTCAGATGTATTTGACATATATTCATTGCTCTGATGTTATATTATTTTAGTAAATCAAAAATTGACAGAAAAATTGTTCACAGTTCTGGGCACTATGAGAGACCTGCTTTGTGGGCCTTTCTAGCCAGAGCATGCTCCCTACCTTTTCAAAGGAAAAGGGGTCTGAAAAGAAAGAAGGAGGTTCCTGCAAGATCCCAGGTGTGGACAGACCCCTTCAGAAGGATGATGTAGGGGATTTCCTACATTTCCAAGGATTTCCCCTTGGTTCCCTTCTCTTAAGGGGAAACGTTCTTCCCTGCTCAGTGAGATCCTTTCCTCATTCAAACACTGCCCTGGGCTGAATAAGATGAGGAAGCACATGAGGCTGTTACCAGACCACCCCTCTCCTGTTTAACTCCCCCCGGGACAAATAAGAAGCAGTGGGAGAACAGTGTGGACCATAAATAGAGGCAGTGAGGCTTTGGCCACTGCAGGTTTGTGTCATGGCACTGACAGCCAGCGAGCTTGACCTCAGTCAGTAATGTCACACTGGTAAAAATGAATTCTTTATGTCCTTTACCTTTGTTTTGAACTGAATACCAAGTACACAAATCCTGTGGGAGCAGACAGTGTTTGGAAGGATCTGAATAGCCTACTGGATACATTTCTTAGATGTGCCTACATGAGGTGGTCAGAGTCCCAGTGTCTATTTCGATGTTTCTTCTCCTATTGAAGAAATAACTGGCATTAACAGATGCCTCATTTTTAGTTGCTTTTCATTGGGGATTTGCATCTTCACTCTTGTAAGCAGTCACTGCCCACGGGATCATTAGTCTTTTGGCTGGAGCAATGATGAATATTTTCCTTAAGTGTGACACGTAATCCAGTAATGTTCCCTTCTTTGAGTTATTTCAGGGGCTTAAATAAATTAGGTGTCTGCCCAGGGTGCCGTGGCCTTTGGCCTGTGACATCATTAATCAAAAGAGCTTTCAATTGGTTACAGTGGGACTGGGGGCCCATTAACCCCTTGGTGCCTCAGTGTTCAGTGTTTTCCTTGGAGCACAGGATCCCCCTGTGTAACCCTGCCCCTGGCAGTGTGGGACTGCAATCCTTGGCATGGCACTTCTGTCAGTGCCCACGGGGGCTGCAGTGCTTGACAGCAACTCAGTTACTCTGCAGAATTTTCTTTAAGAAGTGCAGATAAAGTTCAGACCATGAAGTAAAGCTCCTGAGAACTTCAGGCAGCCTCTTTTCAAGTGTTGCAGAGGGCAATAGTTTGCATTTTCAGAGAGAAATTTTCTATATCTGTGTGTATATATGTGTGTGCGTATGTTAGGTATATATTTTATATATAAAATTTAGAATTTGATCTGTAGATATAAACCCCATAAGTTCACAGTACCTAGTACTGCCTTCTGTAAGTGGATGGACTCTCAGGATTTGACATTCACACTCCTAACACTTTATCACTTCTACTCCAGTCAGCATTTTCATTTATTCTCTTGGTGCTTGGACTGGAACCTACCTCGGGATGGTAATTTTCCTAACAGACTATTTACTTCTCAAACAATTTTACTTTTTCCTTGATCAGCTCAGCTGTGGTTCCCAACCCTTGCTTCTGGCTGGCTATGAAGATGGATCAGTGGTCCTCTGGAATGTGACAATGGGAAAAGCGTTGAGCCAACTCATTTGCCACCAGGAGCCAGTGATGAGCCTCGACTTTGACTCGGAGAGGACCAGGGGGATCTCGGGCTCATCTGAAAAGGTGCTTTGCATCTGGAGCCTCAATGAGCAACAGAACCTCCAGGTCAGCATCACTGGCCCTCTAGTGTCATTTATCCCACTCTGCACTAACAGTTTGATAGACTAAAAAAATATTTAGTCATGAAGAGGAGTTGTTGCAGATCTCTAGCTAATTAATCACAGACTGGTTAGAATGTCTGTGCTATGTGACCAGACTTAGCAAAAGATGGTGAGGATTTAGAAAAAAAAGAAAAAAACCCCTCTCTCACATGTTTCTGGTTTTACCAAAGTTGCAACAGGCACACAGGCCTAGCATTACTCAAGCCATTGCCTCTGTATCTTCATTTATCACGTTAGTAGTATCGAGCTCTTGGAATGCCCTAAACATTATAAATGAGTTACAAAAATGAGAAACAAAGGATTGCTTTTCTAAAGGTTCTGCTTGAATGGCTAGAGCTTTCTTTCCACTGTGGGAAAGACAGAAGTATTCCATGAAATACTTCACAGAAAAAAGAGTAGGAGTAGCCCAAGCAGCACCAAGAGGACGAGAGGCTCAGGCAGCCACCTTCCTTTGGCAGCTACAGAGCTCCGCAGAGACACAACATCAGGCAGTTGGTGCACAAGTTTGTGCCCAGCAACACACCTGGAGAGGCTGGTTTAGGAGGAGACACCAGTTCAGTGAATGGCCATAAACACTGCTGGTATCTAGACAATCTTAGCAGGTGATCCAGCAGTGCCAAGGGGGAAATAGGATTTACCCAGGTGTGGAAATGAAGCGCATAAATAAAGGCTCATGAACATTAAAACAGCCAAAGCATCCCTCTTTAAAGTGGCAGTTGTCCCATAAACAAGGGGAAGGACCCTGTGTGCCCCACACCATCCTGGAGAAGAGAGCTGTGGATGCACCAGTTCATGGGAGAACAATAATGGCTGTTCCAGCCACGTTGCAGCTTTTATGGAGATTTTTGTAGGTAATGTAGCAAGTTAGTGCTGTTTTCTGAATGGTGCTACAGGAAGAAAAGCACATGCTGGGCCATCCAGCGCTGACTCATCGCCTGGGGGTCACTACAAAGGTGTGGAGCCTGCAAGGCATCCCCACAGAGCAGGGTGCTGGGGCAGTGTGGGGACACAGCCCTGGCCCAGCAGGGTCTGAGCTGCACTGAACCTGCAGCACAGCAGGAACGGGGCACTCGGAACGGGCAGGGAAGGTGTCCTGGGCCACAAGGCTGGGGCACAGTTGCCACGGTTTGGGTTTATTGGGTTTTTTGGTGATCTTTGCCCAGCCTTTCTGCCACTACTGTCACCATCTGCACGTGGTGTCCTTAGCTCAGGGAAGGGGAAGGAAGGTGAGCAATCCTAGTAAGAAGCTTGGTATTGAGACTAGTTCTCCAAGGCCAAGGTGTCAGGAATCTGACACCAAGACAGCCTTCTTAAAGCTTCAAATACTCTGGTGCTGGAGAGGAGGTTGTTCCTTCATATTAATTATAGCATAACTTTTTCCTAATTCAAAGGAAATATTGTTCTTCACAGCACGTTCCAGTTATGAGTTAACCCTAATGGAGGGCTACAGGTACAACTCATGGGAAAAGCAGTTGTTCACCTGAAATGTTCCAGGTATTGTTTTTCACCAGGTATTCACATTCCCAGGAGATGCAGGATTAGCTACACCCTCAGCAGCTCACACAGAGATAGTAGCTTTTCTCAGAAGAAATTTAACTGTCAAGTATTAGAAGCTCCAAGCAATGTTCCTGTGCTCCATGCGAGTATGAATGCCCTAATAAAATGCATCTTTCATAGGAGAACTAGAGATTGTCAAGGACATAGATTAAGTTTTTTTCCACTATTGCATTAATAATATAAACCAGATGGGGATTTTTTTCCCTGACATTCCAGGTACCTGAGGTAATGGTAGACGTTGGAAAGCCACTCAGTGGCACATTATTTTTATTCGAAGAGGTTTTAATAAGTGAACGCGGGGCAGAGCTATCTGCCGGTGCAGAAATAATGATGCAATGATGGTGCTCAGCTCTGTTTGAAGTGGCAGTGTTCCAGTGTGTCAATGAGGAGATGATGAAGGTAACTGCACAGTTTATTGCTATGGGGAAAGTTTGGGGTATTGTCTTCTACAGGAAAGTTGCTGAAATCATCACTGTCAGCAAATGCCAGGATTGGTTCTGAGCCTTCTGATTCGGATGAGATAGTGTAATTATGTGATGATGTTTGTGGTAGAATGTAGGAGGTAAACAGCTTCTGCAGGTGAATAAACAAAGCAGAACTAAGAAATCTGATAACCACAGAAGCTCCTTTATATATGACAAGAAAAAAGGTTTTATAAGATGTAACGTAAGTTTTGTTAGTTTGGTTGCTGAGGCTTTTTCCCCAAACACTAAAGCTTAGGCTGCTGCTATTTGGCTATTTTTCTAATAAGCAGAGGGCTTAAAGACGTGCTTTGGGTGTTGATGCAAGTGTCCTTGGTCAGGACTGGCTGAAAGCAGCTCACCTGTTTTTACCTCTTTGTTTTCTTAATTACAAGCTGGTTTTCTGGTTAGGGAATGATGTTGGTATGCATTAGACTACTGTAGTTAGTGACTTAGTGTAGTAAGTCCCTGGATGGCACAGATGCTGGCACTAGGATTTCACCTGGCTGCAAATACCTTGAGCAAGGTGTTGCTTTGCTCCTGTATTTGCAGATCACGCACAAATGCCCCCTGTTCCTCCTGCTGCACAGCCACAGGCAGGGCCGTGCCAGGCTCTGTTCAAGCCGTGGCTTGCTGAGTGCTGTGTCTCCCTGGTGCTCTGGGGATCCTGCCCAGAACTGCCAGGAACGGTGGCAGCACCACGCCCGGGCCTGGCTGCAGCCATTAGCCAACAATCCCAGAGCAAGGCCCAGCTGGCACTGCCAGGCTGGTGAGGGAAGGAACAAATCCTTCCTTCCCAGGACACTTAGGCCCACAGAAATTCCAGTGAGGCCATGCTGCATGAGCCTAACTGGGGGGCTTGGAACACAAGCACTAACCAAAAGCACAGGTTTGACAGTGGCAGCCCCACAAAAAGGCCCCCATACAGCCTCCTGCTGCTCATTAGGCTTGAGCAAAACTTGCTGTCCTCTTCTGAATTGGTTGGAGACACATTCTTCAGGTTGTCTTTAAAAGAGGAATGTGTGGAGCATGTCAAGTTTCATTTAGCCTTTTTTCTCATCAAACTGCACACTTCTTCTGTTTGAGTATGTAGCTAGGGCATTGTTACACAGTTAAAAAATAATTGCTTATGGCTTTGTGTCTGTAAGATTCCAAATATCTTCAACTGCATCTGAAACTAACTTTGACCAACATTTCTGGAGTTTTCTATGGTCAGTGTAAAGGTTAAAGTTATCTGCAGTTAATTTGTTCTCTATAATCCTGTACTAACTGTGTATCATGGAATGTCCTTCAAGGGGGAAAGCTGCTCCCATGGAATGTGCTTGTCAATCCCTTCCCAGCTGAGACAAACAGCAAACACCAACAGTGTATTAAAACAGGCACTGGAGGATATTGGGCTTTAGTACAAGACAGCTCCAGACTCGGGCCTCAGTAGACAGACAGTGACAAAACAAACACATCGTTTCCACCTGTGCTGATAAATAACTGCGGTTCTGGGCCAGGGTCACACCACAGGTGCCTTTGCCACCGTGACAAGAGCTGGGCTGTTCCAACACACACACACGGGTGCACATTCTGTGTGTCTCAGAGCCAGAGTGCTCACTGCTACAAGTTACCTGAGGGGAGAACAGCAAACCTATTATATTCAGCCTTTTTTCTGTGCTTCAAGAGAAACTTGTGTCAGTGAAGTGAAAACTTTTCTTTCCAAGGGCTGAGTCCTCTGCAGCCCCAGTGCCTCCTGAAGGAAGCCCAATGCCTTCCAGTGTAATTGTGCCCCTCAGAAACTTGCTCCCCAGTAGTCTCCAAACAGCAACAAAAGGCTCCCAAGATTGAAATCAATAACTTGGTCATAATCCCCTTCTTGGAATTTGGTGTAAATAAAAGTCTCTTAGGAAGGAGTACTAGAAATACAGATTTCCTGACACTGTAACCCAATTCCTGGAAGCATTCCTTTCTCAAGGATAGATGCTATAACAGCTTACTGGGGGCTTTCTGGGGGGCCACAGTAGTAGAAATGAGTAGCAGGTACTCATCAGCTCCAAATCTCAGCCTGGGAATATTGAAGAAGCAGGGAAAATATATGGCCTTAGCTCTGAACATTGCAGCTCATGCAAGAATAGCTGGAAGAAAAGGGCACAGCTGTGTAGTCTGGTGCTCAAAACCTTGACTCAGAGCTTTGCTTGAGACAGAATATAAATTTCAATGCAAAATAAACTCAAAACATAAAGGGTTTATTTTCAGACAGTGGTGCTGGAGGTGGGAAGGCTCAAGGTAAGGTGTTTTCCATCTCTGTCTACAGTTGTTCTCCCTAAACACCATCCCCCCGTGGTGAAAAGCTCCACCCTGCGTGTGACAGGGGTGTGTTTGGGTGGGCACGACACCTGCTAAGGTGCCAAAAGGTTCTTTCTCTTCTGTTTTGAACAACTGGAACTCAGCTGTGACTTTTTCCCCCAGGTTTGCAAAACACACGAACTCGTCAACGCGGGCATAGCTGACATCACCATCCGTCCAGACAAGAAGATTTTAGCAACAGCAGGGTGGGATCATCGCATCAGGATCTTTGGCTGGAAAAAACTGAAGCCCTTAGCAGTGCTGGACTATCACACAGCAACTGCCCACTGCGTGTCCTTCTCGGACCACAGGAACCCCCGGGACAGGCTGCTGGCAGCCGGCTCCAAGGACCAGCGCATCAGCCTCTGGTCACTGTACACCCAGAGCTGACACCTGCCAGGGGCTGGGGCAGCACTCCTGGAACACAAACCTGCATGGAGGGAACTCGGAGCATCTGTCTCCAGGCTGAAGTGAGAGTCCCAGGTTAATTCCTAATGCTGCCTGTTTAAGCTGCAAATTTTGTTTTCCAGAGAAGGACTTTTAAAATCCATAACAAGCAGAAAAAGGCCAGTCACAAAGACACAGAACAAGTTGCTTTGGGTTCTGCTACAGGTTTTGCAACAGCTTTTCTTTGGCAGGTTGCTGAAATAACTTGTGCCATTATCTCTTGTGAAAAAGGACTGGAATCCCTCAAACTGTGGTGGGGGCAGAATACATCTGTTTGTAAGCCATTTATGTAACCAAGAATTTGAATCAGTGCAAAATATCACTCTTTCTTGAAAATTTATACCCATTAAACCACCTCCAGTGGTTTCTCATTGTCAGTTACTTTTTCTTCCCTGTAACTGAAGGGCTATCAGAACAACCTTGATTTGTTCACACTTCTGTCAAGTTTCTAACTTAAACCAACAGCCAGGAATGTGACTAGGGACGGCCTTTGGCACTTATGAATTTCATTATGTCTCCTGTCACCTCAAGCCTCACAATTAATCACAAAAAAGAAAGGGAAAAATCTTCCCCTGCACTGCACTGCAAAGCTTTGTAAAGCCCTTTCCAGAGCAGTGCTAAATCCTTCCCACAGGCTGACGAGCTGCAGGATTTGAACTCAGCAATCCAATTAGCACCCTTCTCCTTGGAGACTTCGGGGTAGGTTTCAGCAGGGCAAGTCTGGGATTCAGCCACACAACTCTCATTAACATTTAGGGGAAGTGCTGGGGTAAATCCCTACCCACACGGTGCAAATGGCTCCGTTAACTTGTCATCTCTAGGGTTGTGGAAGCTAAAATTCATTCACGGAGGGTTTTTGGTTTGACTCATGAAGCAGCATTTGCATTCTTCTGAGGCATTTTAGACACCCTCCCCCCCGTGTGTTCAGAGCCACACCACTGCTGGATTGGGTCACAAAGCTGCAGTGGCAACTGTGTCCAGGCTGGGCACTGTTGATACTTATTGGAAATAATTGTTTCTGCACTATAAAGACCTAGAAATCAAAGAAAAAGGCACCAAAAGTGCAGTGAACAGCAACATCAAAGACTTTAGAAATTATTTCAGGACAAACACACATGGAAATTAAGGTCTGGGTCTGTTACCCAGCTGTGCTTTGCAGGCAGAGAATACTGCTGGACTGAAAGCCTTAAGCACCCAGCCTGGTGTTCTTTCCATTAAAACAGAAATCAGGATACTGTTGCCAGGCTTTTCTAAATAAAACGTGGCCTTACACATTTTGGAGTGTAATGACAGTTTAAATAATGCATTTCTTTGATTATTTCTTTACTATTCAGTAGCTGCATGGAGGATCACATTGCAGTTGAAAGTTAAAGCCTAATTTTGAGTGATCCCAAGTCAAGGGGAGGTGATGGTGTTCATTACATCTACCAGACAGAGTTGCACAGACCAAGTGCTCCACCTCCACCCTCATCCCCTCCCACACAGAGGAGGAGCTGCTCCCACTGCACACGCAGCTCCAGCCTATGGAATGAGGGGCCGTCTCCACAAAGCTGCTGCTGGAAGAGACCTTTTGTTCTTTTCCCCCTTTCTTAAGTCAGAACTGACAAAGAAACAATGCAATGAATAACTAGAGAAAGCACTGCTGAGTGTGGTCCAGGGTCCAAAGCTCCCACTGGGCTGTCCTGTCAGGACACACCACACTGGCCTGGGGGTGTGAGGGGGGTGCAAGAGTTCCTGTCCAGCCTGCACTGCTGGGCAGTGCCCAGTGCCTGCAGGGTTACTGCTCATCCAGTGGGAAAGGAATCCGGGGCTCGCCCACCTGGGGCAATGGTTACTGCAGGAAATGAGAGGAGCCTGGTCCTGGCAGAGCAGTAATTCATCCTCTGGACAGGAAGGCTCTGTGCCACAGAGCGCAGTGAGAGGGTGGGGAAGCCGTTTCCAGACTGACTGATGCAAACCTGCAGCACTGAGAGCCAGTGAGGAGCACCTGATGCTCCAGGGACACTGTGAGGTGCCAAGGCGTGGCTGGGCCGGGCTCCTGCTCCTGGCACAGCTGGCTCACCCCTGCAGCTCGGGCCCCAGAGCAGAGACCTCTGCCCCTTACAGCCACTCAGCAAACAACTGCTGCTCAAACACTCTGCACTGGCACAGTGGCAGCCCCCTGGCAAGGAAGGATTAATACCCTGTGCCTTAATAGGAGCACTATTAGATCAGAGCCTGAAAGTCAGGAATTCTGGAGTATACTATTTTCCCTAAAAAATGCCATTTACTGTCAATGTCTGTGTCTAAAGGCATTGTGGAGACTCATAAGGGATGTTTAGAGTTACGAATAGGTCCTTTGGAAGATACTCTTGAAGATGAGTATGTGCTGTCACATCTAACACTGCCTTTTGCTGGGAGTTAAATATTTATATTTGTCTGATTAGGCAGAGTTAAAAATAAACTCAGTCATGCAAGTACAAATTGAAAATGAGGGCATGAACTGCATCTCACTACCAGGCAGACACAGAGGTAAAGAATTTCATCAGCTTCAAGAGGAAGGACACAGGTTGCAGAGCTGCTTGCAAGAACAGACCCATCCTATACTTCCCATTACCAAAGCACTATCCAGCTCATACTTTTGCACATTACAGTTAATTCATTAACACTTTACATCACTACTGATTTTATTTAAACACCCAATAAACATTTCTCTTTCACATTATAGTTTCCTTGAAATGAGCAACCAGACTATATTAGTTTGATTTAGAGTTGAGCCTAAATGCCATTGTTGAATTGTGAATTAGAATCTTCTAAAATTTTATATCCTTAAGGAACTAACCTGGACTTCCCCAAAGAAGAATGATTTCCAACAGGAAGGACAGTCTATATTGCTATAGACTGTAAAACACAGTTGTCTGAGTATAATTGTAAAATACAGTTGTCTGATTGCATCTATTAAAGTAACAACTTTTTTAATTAAAAAAAAATAATTTAAAGCTCGTTACAATTGTGCCATGAGCATGGTTATCACCCGGATTTCAGCTGACTTGCTTAGCAGGAAGGTTGTGAGTGAAGAGCCACCTTAAGCTGCTGGAGTGAGTTCTGGAATCTCACCTGCCAGTAAGGAACAGGGCTAAAGGATTCAGGAGTGAAGGTGATGACAGCTAAATTATTACAAAAGGCTTCCTCCCAAGAATCACTGTCTTTGGCACTGTGAGAGGAAGAAAGCAACCAGCATTCGTAAACTAATAGAAATAAATCCCAAACACCAGCATTTGTGCAGCCATTACATGGAATATTTATCACCACTGGAATGAATGGTGATCTCTGACCCTCTAACATTATTTGCAAATGAACCCATTAGTTAAATCCCTTTCTCTTATCAGTACATGAGCCATAAAGCATTGCAGTCCTAAGTGTAGATGAGCAAGGAAAGAGGAGATTAATTGTATTTGTAGTAATGAGTGAAAAAGGAAGTAGGCTGGGGGCCTGCAATGAGACAGTTGTTAAATTTAGCCTTATGCAATGCAATTGCTTCAGCAAGCCAATAAATTGTTCTCTGCATCTTGACTTGGATTGTTGCAAAGGTTTGAGTTTAAAAGAGCAGATTTTTATAGTTAAGTTAATACTGGTTTCTGGACTGCTTTTTGTTTTTAGCACGTTTAAGATGCATCTACAAAGCCAACTTACAAATTAATAAATCTTTCCTTTAATTCAGTCTGCCAAGAACAAAGATAGAACAGTGACTACTGCAGGAGCCATGTTAGTGATGTAAACCAAAGGAGTGGGGATTAACCAAGGATTACCGAGCACTAAATCAATGTGTTTCCTTTTCTGGCTGTGTGTCTGTGGTGTCAAAGTGTGGATCATTACATAAAACATGGCACAGGACTGCCTGGATGATACCAGACACTGTTCAGCAGTGCTGGGACACACACACAGCTGGATGTGGAAGCACCACCACTGTGCTCCCGAGGCAGTGACAGCCCTGACTGAAGCAGAAGGCACGGGGGGTTCTGTTGCTCTCCAGTATCCTGAAATTCCAGCCTGGGTCCCCCTACTAGAGTAGTTTTTCCAAGTAAACTGGACGGTGTTTATCCATGTCCTACTCTTCTGGGTCATGCTGGAGGTTTCCTTTATAACATGAAGAAAACTATCCAGAATTAAGATCATACTGGGGGATTTTGGCAGCTGTCACAGTATCAAATTAAATGAAAACATAATGAAAACATAATCTCTTAGCTGTGAATGAATTAAATGAAAACATAATCTCTTAGCTGTGAATGTTTTGCTCACCTGATTATTGGTATGAACAATATCTGTATGTCCTGCCAGCAGTGCTATGCACTGCTTTAGTCTGATTTACCTCAGAGGAATTCAATTTGCAGTTTAGTATTAGAAGAGGAGAAGAAAGGGGAATGAGAGTGTAAATCAAAACAAAGAAGCAACCCATCCCTCTGAGTTCAGTGCTATGAAGATTCTGGAAAGCACAAAGGGCCTTGGAGCAAACCACCTCCAGCAGCGGCCAGATTCCTAATGGGAAAAAGACAAGGATGGCAGGAATAGTGGAACCCTACAGTGATAGGTCTGTCTTTTGAAACTTGTACACCAGCTCATTTCAGTTTCAGAAGTATTTGCTTTTAATTCTCCAGCATCCTTTTCAAAGGTGTTGGAACATAGGAAATCCTCTAAAACACAGCCTACACCTCTTAATAAGACTGTGTTCACCCAGAGCAGTGTGGACTTATTTCTCTGCTATGAAGTCATAACACCAGAGGCTGCAATGCCACAGGGGACAGCACTGGGAGGGACTGAGGTCCTGAAGCAGCCACATGCACTGCAGAACCATCCCAGAGCAGTATTAACTATCTTCTTACAGAAGAGTGACATGACAGTGAAAAAAAAATTAATTCTAGCAATTATCTGTTGCAAATTGAAGTTCTAATATTAGAAAAAAAAAAAAAGGAAAAAAAAAAGCTGTTACATTACACTGAGATTACAGCTGTTTCCTCCTAGTTTTCATTCCCAGGATACATAAATGAGGGCAGTGAAAAGCTATAGAAACCCTTTGGTTCTTTCTGGACAGCAATGAGCTCCCTTTCCTGCCAGCAGGAGGGTTGACTGATCCTGACTATGTCCAGATCAGGGAATCTAGGGAGGATGCTAAAATGCTGGCTGTTATTCTGCTCCATAGCTCTGGCATCCCATGCAAGTCAAAGTACATTTTCCAGGCACCCACTGCTTGCTATAAACACATCCTGGCCCAGGTAAGAAGAAAGTGGGTGTGCTGGGCCTATGGAATAACTTTAAACATGGCAGAGAACGTGGCCATGGCATTTGTCCTGATGGGAATTCAAAAATTGCTGATACGAGACCCCAGTGATTCATGGGTGCATTGTCTCTGTGATGGAAGAGTGTCCGGGCTGCTCCACCACAACACCGAGGGTAAGAACTGTCTGGTCAGATGGTTTTGCCTCAGATATTTTGATGGCATGCAGACCTGGCATCCTGCTAAATTGAGACATTGAGTCTTTATAGTTTTATCTCTTGAGCCCATCTGGTTTGAAGCAGTTGACAACAAGCAGGAAAGGGAACAGAATGAAAGACTCACTTTATGTTTGCTGAAATAAAAGCAATGTGTAAGGCAGTGCTCAGTGAGGGGCCGCTGCACTCGCCCCTCACCACCCTGTGCCCTGCTCAGAGGGTTGGAACGGGACGGCTCTGCTGCAGCCCCTGCCCTCCCTCCCTCGGG